AATACTTATTGAAAACTTAGCATTTAGGTAGGTCTTTTGGAGGTGGCACAATTGACTCATTTGGCCCGTCGCCATTCTCTATTAAAAATGCCATCTTTAGTCCCCATGAAGTGTGTACTTCTAGATGACAATGCATGAACCAAACCCCTGCATTCACCATTTAATAATGTTAAACTCGTTAACTAACTCAAAATTCTTTTTCACCCCTGAAATGATAGGTTTATCTCGAGATATAAATAATGCTCAAAACAAATCTAGTAATTCTTTAATTTAATTTGTACACGTATATTATATAATTTAAAACCTATGATTAATTGGAAAATTGTTATGTTACAATACCTGGATTATCAGCTCGAAATCTTATAGCAGTCCATCCACCCGTAGGCACGTCAATAGTGTTCCTCTCAACAGGATCGACGAGATTGAAGCTCTCGGGATCCTTAGTATCATCGTAATTACCTATCCCCATACCAACAACGAAGAAATTGAACCCGTGCAAATGGAGAGGATGGCTTTCAGGTGCTATGAGGGAAGTGTCTTGGAGTACAACTTGGACCGTCGCATTAAACGGTAGCCTATAAACCTTAGTACCATTCACGGTAGCCAAAGAGCCAGTAAAATTTGTAGTATAGTTAAAAGTTGTAAGAGGCTTCCCTGGAAAATCGTCCGTAAAAACTCCTTTTATTTTGTAATAATGAGCTTGGAGCAATGAAATAGTTGGCATAACAAACGTGACATTGTTAATACTACCTACGAGCTTACTCCCATTTAGACATGTTGGACACGGGTTAACCCCTACACCCATGGTGAAAAATAGGGAATGATCAATGTCTAAAGGGACTTTCGCAGGGTAGTCTCTTGAATTAAGACTTCGAAGGGCATGTGTGAAATTTAGTTGAGCTTGTGTCGCGTTTAAAGGTGGCATTGTAGTGAGGACAAGTCGCGAGTTAGCTAGCCCACCCTTGTAGCGCAAAAGGCCATAGGTGGTTGTGTTATCAACAGCAACAGGCGCGTCCATAAAGGAGGACATGCCAATCAAATATTTTCCTGTAGGAGATTGATCGGCCTTAAGAAGAGCATTTGTGGTTTGTCCTGGTGCAATGTAGATAGTGTCTGTTGTAAAAGGTTTTGTGTAGCTTGCATCAACTTCTACCACGGTAAATTTGTGACCAGCAATTCTGAAAAAAACCTCGTCATTGATTGCAGCATTGATGATACGTAATAGGTATGTTTTGTTATGCTCAACATGTAGGGTGTAAGTCCCTGCACAATAGTTATGGAATTGAATATTTGATCGTGAATAAATATTCCTAGGAATTTTTTTTTGTTTAGGCAATTTTTGGTAGTATCAATTACAAGTATAAGTACCCTGAGTAGAGATTGAACAATTTCGAACCGGTCCAGTATGGCCATTTATGATATGTGAATCTGATACATTTGGTGGCATACCAGATTGTGTAGCTTGATTAATCACTGCCTCTGTATCTGCTTTCCACCATTCCCCTGCAATTGATGGTAGAAGCAGCATATTAAAGCTTTATTCAATCAAAATAACCAATAATTTATTGACCACAAGTCCACAACTAACATGTTCTTTATTAGGCGGGAAGAACTAAGGAGATCCCAATTCACAAGAAAACCTCAGTTATTTAGTTTTACACTAAAATTAACCACTATATTATTTTTATCCCAGCCGGAAATTAGGTTGATGAGAATTGAACCCGTAAACCTCATAATTGAAAGTGGATTGATCCATTAATTGTTCTACTATACAAGTTGAATTACTTCAAATTGCAAACTTTTTGATGGAACATAATGTGTATACTAAAAACATATAACATGACAATTGTTGTTGGGCCGGTTTAGTAGGTCCAGTGTCGTCTTCCAATTATATTTCAGAGAATATTAAAGAAAATGTCAAGGAATACTAATTGCATGGGAGTGTGGTGTGGGACTTTATATGACATTGACATTATTTAGTACTTCGTGCAAATTAAAAGTTCTACTTAATTAAAGTAATGATATTGAAAGTTTAAGTAAAATATGAATATATAGTCAATAATAAGGTATTAAAGCCTCACCTAACACAATAACTTTCTCTTTGACAGGATGTGGGAAAGGGTATGGGGTGCCTTTCTTAGGCAATATAACAATGGCTCCATGTAGGGTTGCCCTTAGCCAGGATATATGTGCGTGCCAGAACAATGTTCCTCTTTGACCTATGATGGTGAAGTTGTAAAGATAGCTTTGTTCCGGTTGGATCGGACATTGTGCTACATATGCTGGACCATCGGACCACCCTGTTTTAAGTTGTCGAATACCGTGCCTACAATGTACAGATAATAATATCGTAGATGATGTGTTAGTCCTGAACTCATCTAATAATTTTAAGTCGTCATTATGTATAGAGACATGGTGAGGATCAATTGATCAAATAATGAACGTGTTTTAAAGGTTTAGAGTCTTACCAATGTATAGTAACGTTGTAATTGATGTTATTGATGACTTTGACAAGAACGTTGTCACCCTCCCTTGCATGGAGGGTTGGCCCGGGAAATTTTCCGTTGACTGTGGCAATAGCCTTGGTGGAACAAAGTTTTGTGTAGTTCTTCATGACTACCTACTTGTGCAAGCATATAGGAGGTTAATTACAAGAAAAGTAGTACTTCTTAGTTTGAAAAAATATTTGATGGATGTTATTAAAGATCTAACATGCTATTAACAATTTCGGCCATCATTAGAATAATACGTAACATGTCAATTGTAGTTTCAACAAAATCGTAGGTGTTACTATTTGTATATTCATTGGTTGCCTTTGCTTACCTTACCCAAAACCATTTATAACACGGTCGTTTTATCATTGATAGAAGGCACAAATAACTTGTTTAACTTAATTTTTATTTCTTCTAGTAGAAATGGGCTAGAGACCTCGTGATCACATAGTTGAAAGTCTGAAACACACTGCACCACTATATAACTCTATATATTGTATGGGAAAGGATTCATTGAACAGCCCTTCTTGTGTGCAGCTGACCAGTTTTGACTTCTCTAATTAATAAGTGAAACATAACACTAGCTAACACATAATTATAATGTTAATCATCAAGTTAATTAAGTATGTCGCGTACCTTGAAGTTGTAATGCCTAACCGTGGCCTCTGCTAATGCAGGAAACATTAGTAGAATTACTACAGCATGAATCCAACGTTCCATCCTTCCCTCCCTCGATTTCGGTACTTCCTTATTCATTCTTCTTGTTTGATCTTTCGTAATTTTGTTTTCTATTTGATTACTAGTATTAGTTTTAACTAATATATATTTGGTAGATTTAATGTTCTTCCTCAATCTAGAACTTAATAAGTATGCAATGGTCTGACTCCACGACAGCGTAGATCACTACAAATGAGATGCAGTGTCATTTTACTTGAGTAGGTAAATGAATTGCCATCCATGGTGTGTGTGTGTATAGTTCTTAGACTTGTATAGTTTTCCGCCATTGAGCTTTCTTACATGTTACATAAAGTTGCTACTATTAATCGTATTACTTTGATTTTAACAGCATCTATCTTGTTGCCATTTCTACTATCAGTAGTATAAGAATACATGACAATAGTCAGTAATCTTTCCAAATAGTCGAGCTGCAAAAACTAATGTGGGACGGAAGGAATAAACAATTTTATTATGCACCTTTTTTCCACTTAATTGTGGTTAAATGTTAAGTTCTGATAAGTTCATGGAAAAATAAGGGTTTTAAAATCAAATTTACACTAAAATAAGTTTAATGAAATAACTTAAGTTTGGAGAAGTTTAGATAAGTGAAAAACTTTTGATGTGCTTTTATTTAATTTGTTCTATCTCTTTGTAACAAAAGAGTTAGTGAAGATCTTTGCTATTAAGTAGTTTACCGAACTTTTTACTTTGCAACATTTTAATTTTGTTTATAGGCATATGTCAAAAAAAAAAACAACGGAGGAACTATTGGTGTACATGCTTCAAATTCATACACGCAGCGTTGCTTGTTACTTAATATACACACAAATATCATAGTCTTAATTATTTTTCACATTTGAAAATTATCTGTTCGTTGAGTACTTTGTCATATTGCAAATAATCGCACACATTAAACATTGTAAAAATGGAAATTAAGTGGTTGAATTGCAGTAAAATATAGCAAGAACCAATGAGCTTAAAATAAAAAAGTGGGAACAATTAGAAGAATTGCCCTATTTGTTGGACTGTTTGTTTCATGATGTATTAATTCATCATTATGAAGGCTACATGAAAGCGTTAATTAAACATTTAGATGGGCTAATTAACAGCTTATCTTTTGATTGATATCTCAAAGCTTCTTAGGTGCTTAATCTCTAGTGGATTGACTCCTCTTAATCACTAGTCATATCACTAATTTACATTTGGTTGTGCTGTTATTTTCAAGAGAAAGACAGATAGTTTCACAGGAAAAATAATTTCTATTAGGAATTTTCGATGGTGTTCGTTTTGATTTTGCATGATTTTCTCCGAGGTTAACAGCTTATCTTCCTCATGAATCAGTTTTCAATTTCTGTATGATCTTATATTGATTATCATGTACTTCCTAGGACGAAAACAAGCCAAGTAACTTAATTTGTTGAACAAGCAAGTGGAAGGGGAGCAAAGTTTAAGCAACATGGCTTGCATATATATGCACCTCTCATATTGTTATGCATCATCATATCTTTGTTAGCTTTTCAATTCACATGAAATTGATCATGTCATCTATTGTTAGCAAAATATGATATAGACGGAATCTGAACCTAGTTATCGTGCCATATGCCTATAGATTTTATGAAATAAACCATCTGCAGGAAATTTTTCTTGGAGATAAATTTGAATCATAGATTTGCTGTAATGCTTCTTGAAATAAGTAAGAATTAACCATATTAAGCTAACATCTGCATGCCCGAAGAATAGTATCTGTGAAAATTTTCGAACATTGATATGAATTATTGCTTCACAATAACATTTTATGATAAAGATTCTACCCATGGGTCATGGAAAGATGTATTAGTATTAGACATACTAACTCATTTCGTTGTAAGAAATGTATTTTTCCTTCGTTTTTCATTATCATGAATATAACAAATGCAACAAGATAACAAAGGTGAAATGCAAGAGCCATATAATTAAAGGGCGTAAACTATAGACAAAAAGGGGATATGATTAAAAAATGGAACATGACTAGCTTATTTAAGCAGCTGCTCCAACAGGAACTGGTTCCTCTAGCCTAGAAGATCCATATAATGTCTTCTCAAACCGGATGATCTCGTTCTTGGAACCATAAGCAACTTGGGTTCTGTCATCAAGGTTTTGGACCACAATGTCCAACACAGACTTGGTTCCATCACTGCTGTGACCGCCAGCCTTTTCGATCAAGAACCCTAGGGGAGCTACCTCGAAAAGCAGCCTCAATTTTGCTTTGGCTGAAGGTGATGCTACATTTGTGAATATACCTTTCTCCTTCACTATGATCTACATGTATAAATATAGTTACATGTTAGTGTTACTTAAATTTAGAGTTACAACGTGCATCACATTTTTAGAGAATCTCACATAAATGAGGGAGGAAAAGGTTCTTGAATAATTCACATCTATAGATTGTGAATTATATACAAAAGAATTTATTATGCTTTTAATTAGTTTGTAGTTTTTTACTGCATGTCTGGATTCAGTGTTGTCATGCTACTAATTCAATTCACACAATCAACGTGAAAACTATTTCCGGATGGAATAAATAATATTTCAATGGCAATGTTGTAACTTAGGGTCACACCACAAGCACACTATAAGAATGAGAAAGGGAAAGGATATTTCTTAAACCTGATTAACATCAGGAACCATTCCTCCTGTGTATCTCAATGTGTATTTCTCTCTCACGTAGTATTGGATCAGCTGAAAGACAAAAGAAAGTAATAACATGGGTTAAAATAAACACATTCTAGAACCATATTAAGTAGGTAGTTTATACATGATCCAAATGAGATAAACGAGTCAAGATCAATCACCTTGTCGTAGTCAGGATTGTCAGAAGTGGCTCTCAAGTTTCCAGGGCAGAACAATTTTCCTTCATTAATTTCTGTTGTTTCCTTCACATGTTGCCATTTTCCTAATATTGCAAAAACAGGGGATTTCAAAACAGAACAAAACAGGGGTAACATTCTTAGTCACCAAGTTATTGTACTAATTACTAGTAATATGATCAAGTTATGCATGGGACATTCTCAATTTTTTTTTCCAGGTTTCTATCACAAGATACGAACCTTCATCGAGAAGAAGAAATTCATGGGTTCCGGGGTAGTCTTTAAGAGCCAGGACATATGTAGTCCTAGGACCATAAATTCCCATTGCAGCTGCCACTTGATCTCTGCCTGTTACACCGGTTAGCTTGTCACCTGGCCATACTCCAAATATGGTGCCAACTGAGAAATTGGTATCAACGATGCTGGAACCATCAAGGGGGTCAAATGCTACACTAAATCCGCCTATATTGTTTCAAAGAATCAAGAAGAAAAAGTTAAAACCTTATATCTAGGTCAATCAAAACAACTTAATGAAATTGGTTGAGACGAGTAAATAACCATCAACTGGGCCTCCCATATCTTGAAGCTCAGGAATTTCTTCTGAACAAGCATACTTGCAGAAGTGTGAGTAGTTCAAGGCCTGTAACACATATCATTTCTATTAGTTTCATGCAGGATTTTCTTCAATAATGAGCTCTCAAAAATAATTAGGATATCTTTCTCTCCTTTTTTTCCCCCCTTTTTCCCAGGATTCATAGGAGACACAATAGTCGAAATCTACTCATCTTAATCATTAGGCCAAAATTTCACAAGCAGTAAATATCTCAAAGATACCAGCCAGGCAACTAACCATAAAGGATGACTTAGTACTCCGGAATCAATGCTTCAAGCTCTTTCGTACATAAAATGTACCAATGTTACCATATATAATGCATGACACGCATGATTAAGACCGTTTCAGATTCACTTTTGTGACTCATTCAAAAATTTCTCTTAGATGATAAGTCACCTCAGTTTCTTACAAGATTCTTCTCTTTTTTGTGTTTAGATTCAGAATTTCTTACAAGTTCTTCTCATTTGAATGCATCTCATATGATTATCTAGTTTCAACATGTAAAATAAAAGCGAGCATTGCAGGAGTCAGTAACGAGCAATAACCTCGAAAAGAAGCTTGTCAGCAAGCACATCAATAGCAAGCTGTTCATCTCCAAAAGTGTTAACACACTGTGTTCCACCACATGAAGCTGTTCTCACTTTAAAGCCAATAGTCCTTAATGCTTCTCCCATGCACATCAGCACTCTAATCAGACCTTTATCTTTGGTTGCCTTTGCTAGGAACTCCTCCTACATTAATCATTTTATAATTCATTGACAATAAAATTAATTAATTCCAAATACAAAACATAAAATTCCAACTGCTAATTAAAAAGTAGTGTAAATTACTTCAAACTTACCAAACTGTCACCAAGTTCACATTTGGTTACAAGGGAAGAATTCTTTGCCTGCTTGTTGACCCTAACTGATGACTTGGTTGTCATCCGCAATGATTCTCCAAAGAGCGAGCTTGATTTTAGACTCTACATAAAAATGAAACATGAGTAACTCCAATTTCTATATTGGTCCATACATACATAACAATAATTTCAAGGTGTCAATATAACACAGTAAAAAGGTTGTATGTAGTTCATCAAACTCCTAGTACGTCAAATTTCAAGAAAAATAAGTCCTGATAAAAACTGATCGAGTTATAGATAGGTAACAAAGCCGTTGCCTAAGGTTGTAGTGTAAACTAGATTATTGTTACGACCATAGAAAAAGCAATCATGTATATGAATGTACAAATTATTGAACATAAACATTAAGCAATAGCATACCTTAGGGTTAAAAGAAGAAGGCAAAAGAGCAGATGAATGCTGAGAAGAGACTCTAGGGAGCAAAATGCTTCTAGAACAACTAGCCATGCTGGTCTCCATGGTTTACTGCTGTGATGTTCTGAGAGATTTGGCAGCAGAAAATTAAGGGAAGGAAAGACAGTAGGATTGGGAAGTGAAAGAGTAGGATTTTAGATAAGCAGTTAATGGGTTTTTGCCACGTGTCTTTCTTCCAATAAGATAGAATATAAAGCTCAAGGATTGAGTGAATTACCATCTCTCAAATTTATGTGGTTATATATTGCCATTGTTTTAGATAGGTGATTTTGATTTTAATGAAAAATGGAAAATGTGGACCCTTGTGACTCTATGAGTTTGTTTTTTTGATCTTTCTGAACCATATGATTGAGGTCTCAACTTTGTTTTTGTATGATCTTTTCTTAAACAGCATTGGAATTCACTAGACTTACATTAAGCGATAATCTTGCCCTAAAAAAAAAAAGAAAAAAAGACCGATAATCATACTTCTTATAAATATTGTTACTCTTTCTATTTCTTTTTTATTCTTCCCATTTTGTTTTGACATGTTTGTTAATGTACAATTTTCATTACACAAATTTTTATATGTGGCTGGTCATACCATGTGGTCGGGGTTACTCGAGTTACTCTGTCGGGGGTTACTTGAGGGGTTCGATCAGAGGTTACTCGGTCAGGGGTTAATTGAGGAGTTACTCGGTCAGGAGTTACCTGACCGAGTAACTCGAGTAACCCCGGCCACATGGTGTGGCCAACCACACAGAAAAATCCCCCTTTTCATTATTAAGCCCTTTAATTTCATGTTAATTAAAATTATAAAAAATAAAAATGTTCTTACAGTACTCATTAAAACAAATTAAATCAGATTTTACATAACTTTGTTTTTTTTAATATATATATTCAAAAAAATATATAAAAACTTATTTGAAAATGATTATTGATTAGATTTCAAGTGGGGAGAACAACATCACCTTTTATATACATCCGGATACACATAGAGATAGGAGCATCCAAAAGTGATTTTATTTGCTCATTTGATTTATTTATTTTTTCCTATTTTAAGAGTAAAAATATAATAAATGAATAAAAAGTACCCTTGCACCCACCTATAATTTTTTTTTATATAAGAACGCACCAATAATATTTTTAAAAGGGGGTGAATACAATAATACCCATTTTGTATCCGTACCCGTCCTGTGTAATGCGGGCATGCAGCTGCAACCACTTCCCAAGTATTTTAACAACATGAGGCTTAATACTAAAACGGATATGTCCATGGACTATAGATGGGCCTATTAGTTTCGGCATTTTGGGCTTAACGTTGGGTTACTTGGGTATGTCCCTGGATTAGCCAGCCTAGTCAAATTTAAGGTCAACTTTTTTAGCCGCGTTGACTAGCTCTAAAACATGCTAATTTTACCAATTTAGGTCGTCGGTGTCCAATTATTGTTAACAGACATGCATGACAGTGTTCCACTACTCCGTATTAATTTCTTGGCAATCTTTAGCCAACGGCTCAACTCGAACTCTAGTGGTTCACAACTTCATTTATTTATTTATTTAAAATTATTTATTGACATAGGCTCAAGGAAATTAAACTACATTAAAAAACAAAATTAAGGAAAATGTGTAGATTTCAAAAACTTTTTACTCTATCAGTCTATCTGCCTTTTGTATTTTTAATAATTGGTATGCTCTCTCCCTTCCATAATATCAAAATTTGTAAACTTTAGTTGCAACTCTTAATCAATACGAGTATACAATATGAGCATAGTCAAATTGTTAGACTATAAGTTTTTGTGTATTTTCAACATAATGTCTACATTTTTTAGTTTTACCATATGCACTTTTACACTTGTTTGGGTCCAATTTAGTCCAATTGGGCCTAGGCATTAAATGATCCAATTAAAAGCCCAAGGTCAAGGTTCAACTCTCCAATTGTGCTAAAGTCAAAGGTCAGCCCTCAAAGCAAGCCAATTGGGCTAAGGCCCAACTTCTCCATGTATGAAGAGGTATAAAAGCCATCAATATTCATACATTAAGTAGATAAAAAAGATTCATAGATTCATATATTCTCATATATTCAAGCAAAGCCTCAAGCAACTAATTCTCTTGCATAGTGTTCTCTTTCTACACATTGTACTGACTAATCCTGGGCACCGTGCCGTGCCGGGCCGCCGCGGGCCGTGCCTGGCGGGCCACGGGCTGGTTCGTGCCATGCCAGTCGTGCCGGCGGGCCCAGGATTCCGTGCCGTGCCGGCCATTTTCACAGGCCAGCCCACGGCACGGCACGGCCCTCGTGCCTGGCGGGCTCGTGCCGTGCCGGCCACGTGCCGGCCTGCGGGCTGGCCTGCGCGGGCTGGTGCAGTTTTCATTTTTTTTTTAATGTATATAAGTTTTATAAGGTTTATAATGTATATAAGTTATAAAATTATAATTATAAGTTTTATAAGGTAACTTATAAGTTTATAACTTATAAGTTATAAGTTATTAAGTTATGAATTTTATAATTATAAGTTGAATATTTATGTTTTATAATTTGTATATTCAATATTTATATTTATATATTTACTTTATACTATTACTTTAAAATTTAATGTTTATGATTTATTAGTATTTGGTATAATTTTATTTATTTTTTAATATGAATTTACAAATTGTAACAAAACGGGGAAAAAAGGCAAATTGGACTTTGGATGTGAATAATGCGTACTTTATATTATTATTACTTGAGTTGAGAAAATTGTACAATGATAACAATGATAAAAATCATACAATGATGGTATTAAACAAAAATTGGAAAATGATAAAATTGATATTTTTAAAATCGTACAATATACAATAAATGTCTATTCTTCTTCTCCTTCTTCTTGCTCGTCTTCGTCTTCGTCTTCGTCTTCGCCTTCGCCTTCAAGGTCATCGGCTAGTTGCATAGATTGGGAACTAGCCGAACCCGAACCGGAAGCGGAGGTTCCTTCTTCGTTGTCGTTGTGGTCGTAAGAACGGTCTTGTGAGCGATTTTCCGCATCCAACCAATCTTAGAAACACACGCACATTTCTAGTGTTCCGGGTTTTAGACTTGTTCTTCTATCGTCTAAAACCCTTTCGGATGCGCTGAAAGCTCGTTCGGAGGCGACGGAGGAAACTTGGATAGCAAGAATGTCTCGTGCCATTGCCGCCAAAGTTGGATGCTTCGAGCTTTGTTGTTTCCACCATGCAAGGAGGTCGAGGTTGTTTATCTCATCGTCGTCCATGCCTTTGGTGAAGTCGTAACTCAGGTACATCTGCAACTCCGAGACGTCGCTTTGCGTTCTCCTGATTGATGAATCACCTGAAAACCTTGAAATCAAGTTAGTAGCTTGTGAAAATAAATGTTTGGCCTTCTTACTTACGTTTTTGGATGGTTGGGAAGGCCCTGAGCGAGGAACGGTGCCATATTTGGCTTCATAGACTCTATATAAAGCAAAAAACTGATCCTTCACATTAGTCTTATAGTTTTCTACATCATCGTCAAGAAACATGCATTGAAAGTAAATGTCAACTAACATAAATGTGTTTTCATACTTTTGCCTAGGATCTAATATGGAAGCAAAAATATAAATCAAAGGAATCTCACTATAATATTTACGCCACTTTTTTTCCATTGCTGGAAGATACTGATCATAATCACTATAATATAATTAATAACAACAATTATAACAACAACAATAACAATTAACAACAATAATAATTAAACAAGATTATTCTAATAATAACAATAAAACAATAATAAATTTAAGATTAGTTTAAATCTTACAACCGTGCTTCAACGCTCCACTAATTACGATTACGAAATTTTTAATTTTTTCCGATATTAGGAAAATAATTAGAGAATTTAAGAGAATAATTAAAGAATTTAAGAAAATAAGGATTATTAGAGATTTAGAGAATATAAGAGATAAGAAGAAGAGATTGTGATTTTGTGATTTGGGAATGAAATGGAGGTGAGTATTTATAGAATTTTTGGCAAAAAACTAGCCGTTTTATAGCCGTTTATAGCCGTTTTATAGCCGTTGGCCCGCGGGCCGTGCCTGCGGGCCAGCACGGCGGGCCATGCCCGTGCTCGTGCCGGGCCGTGCCTGGGAATTCTCCACCGTGTCCGTGGCACGGCCCGTGGCACGGAAGTTGAACTTCGTGCCGTGCCGTGCTTGACTTCGGGCCGTGCCGGGCTGCGCCGAACGGCGGGCCGTGCCGGGCGGCACGCGGGCAAACCCGGCCCGTGCCCAGGTTTAGTACTGACTTTAGCATCGGAGGGGCCTTCCTCGGCAACACCCCCGAGGCTAGTTTACGTGTGTTTACTGTGCAGGAAACCTTCGGCCCAACATAACTTGGACCGAATCCAGTCTTCTCCGTTTCAGCGGACCTTCGGCAAGGTCCCATTGTTTTCACCCGAAACAATTTGGCGCCGTCTGTGGGGAACGACTTTCAAAAATCTTTAAGCCAAATTTCTAACCAAGATCATCTTGCAATTATCTTAGTAGCAATGGCTAAGAACCGCAAGAGCAAAAGCCTCCGTCAAGGAGCGGGCGAAAAGCCTAAAACCCCTACACCATCACCCTCGCCGGACCGGAACTCTCCCAAGGGTGCCAGCTCGGGGGGGGGGGAATCATACAAGGAGGATTCCCTTTCTCCCGTAATTCATGACTCTCATTATAGGCCGAGTCACTCTCGGTCTAGCAGGGGTGAGTCCGATCATAGGACACATTCAGTGCCCCAAAGCCAACCATCGGCTGCGCGCCCTCATTCCCATACTCGGCCGAGGACCCCTTTGACGGGGCCCAGCTCGGAAGAGGTGGAAAGAGCGCTGGCAGTGCTCATGAAGGCGATGAGGGCACAAAATATGCCACCACCTCGTGATCGAACTCCTCCGCATACCCGGCATCAGCGGAGGAAGTTAGACCATGATGGTGGGAAGCTTCCTTCCTTCCGGGAACTAGAAGAGTGGGAAGAGGATTCCTGGAAAAATGAAAAAGAGAGGAAAAAGAACCCTCAATTTTTAAAAGGATCCTCATCCTCAAGACCAGAAGCGCATAAGAACAGCAGCTCAGCTTCTCGGCCAGAATCTACTCACCGAGAACCTGAGACTGTTCGCCGAAGCGTCCTTGACCGACTCGGCGGCAAGGAACCGAGCGTGCGCAGTCGCCTCTCGTTCCCTGCAGCCGAGGCCCAGACTTCCCAGCCAGGGA